TGAACTCAGGACCTCTGGAAGAGCAGTCAGTGCTCTTAACCTCTGAGCCATCTCTCCAGCCCCACAATATCTTTTTAAAAACTTTACTGTCATGTTTTTTAGATTATGCTATTCTTGGATGGTGCACATATACCATTAATTGTAGAAAATCTTTGAGCTGTACCATTTGTCAAGACCAATCAATAGATTTGATTGGTTATTTGAGCTATTCAGAATTCATGAATATATAGTTCACCATCTTAATTTTTGTATCTCTAAATGGAAGCTCTCAGCATTTAGTGGTGGAGCTTAGTTGCAGAATAACTTTTGCTTTGGGGATTTTGTGGGTGTGTGTGGGTGTCTTATACTATTGGCCTAAAAAATATACTCAACTGACATAGTAGTGTTGTTAAAACAGACACTTGAAGCAAAAATTTAATAGATGTTTGGAAAGGACCCCAAGTAGTATTTAATAGCCACTCTTATCTGGTGCTTGATTGCAGCATCCTAAATTTGCAAAAGGGAGGAAAAACCACGAGCAGTAAGGTTTCCTTGCATGTTTATTCTTGAGTGCTTGTTGATTAAGTACTATTGAATTTGCAAATAGGGTTGACAAGCATCAGAAAAACGAATGACGTTTAAGTTTACTATGATCTTACCCACAGTGTTTGGTCATTTTATTTCTATTTTACATGAAACAAGGAGTTACTTGATTCCTGTAGTATAGAATGGAAAAATAAATTTCTAGGCTGGAGAAGCGTAATTCCTGTACCTTGTGAGTATTAGTGGGGAATTACCTATAAACAGTGTTCTTATGGACAGTGTGATGATTAAGTCTTCATTGTCAACTTGTGTAGGTTTAAAGACCTCCGGGTGTGTGTCCAGAAAGGTTTGATGTGGGAATTCCTACCCTGGGTGTGGACACTGCCATTCTGTGGGGTCCAGGACTGAGTGTGACTAAAGTGAAGAAGTACCAGCATTAATCTGTGACTTGACTACTGATGCAGTGACCAACTACTTACCTATTTAAGGTGCTTTTTTGGGGTGTGTGTGTATAGTTTTGTCACAGTAAGGTGATTAAAAGTTAGAAAAATTGGGCTGGGGATATGGCTCAGTGGTTAAGAGCACTGGCTGCTCTTCTAGAACACCTGGGGTCAATTTCCAGCGCTCATGGCAGCTCACAACTCTGTAACTCCAGTTCTAGGGGCTGTTTAACACCCTTACACAGACATATATGCAGGCAAAAGAAAGAACAAAAATACTGCTTGGTTTTTAACATCCTTTTGTTTCTTATAATTTCTCAACATTCTGTGAGGCTTTCTTCTCTTTCCCCTCCTTCCTTCTCCCTCCCTCCCTTGCTCCCCCTCTCTCATCTCTTATCTCTCTCCCCTCTCCTCTCTTTCCTCTTTTGGTTTTTTAAACAGGGTTTCTCTGTTTTAACAGGCAGTCCTGGAACTAGCTTTGTAGACCCAACTGGCCTCTGCCTCCCCAGTGCTGGGATTAAAGGTGTACAACACCATTGCCTGTGATGTTTTGTTTGTTTTTGTTTTTTGTTTTGCGAGACAGGGTTTCTCTGTGGCTTTGGAGGCTGTCCTGGAACTAGCTCTTGTAGACCAGGTTGGTCTCGAACTCATAGACATCCACCTGCCTCTGCCTCCCAAGTGCTGAAATTAAAGGCGTGCACCACCAACGCCCGGCTAGCCTGTGATGTTTTGTTAAGAGGGATGCTTATTAGACATTAAAGAGTCATTAAATGACTTGAGACCTGCTAGGATGAAGTCTTAGTTTTATGAGTAGGTTCTTTAAGGCACAGTTGGGAATAAAATCTCAAGATTTGTTAGTTCTCAAGGATCAAAAATCACAATGGAATTTCTGAGGTGATGAAAGTTCTATTTCGATGTAGTCACCGGCAACTACCTGTGGCCATTGAGCATTTAACTGTGACTAGTATGAGGGAAGAATGTTCTAGCTTTAACAGCTCCACTCTTTATTTAAAAATGCTGCTCTAGGTCAGTGCTTTGAGGACCGAGAGAATTTCCTCATGAAACAGCTCATTTTGCTCAAGTGAACCTGTATCAAGTGATTTCAAACATCCCTTCAAAAAGACATTTGTCTTAGTTTCCAAGGATGAATTGTAGGTTTTGTCATTTCTTTTTTTGTTTTTTTCCAGACATGGTTTCTCTGTGTATCTTTGGAGCCTGTCCTGGCACCCTCTTTGTAGACCAGTCTGGCCTCGAACTCAAAAGAGACCCCCCTGCCTCTGCCTCCAGAGTGCTGGGATTAAAGACGTGCCCCACCACTGCTTGGTTAGAGGGATTTCTTAATATATGATTAGCTTAGCTAATCCGGTTATTGCATGACAAAATGTTCAATCACCATCATCAACTCTTGGACACATTGAAATACATAGAGTATACTAAGACTGTTAGTGTCTCCAACTTTTAACAACTGCGGAATGGTAGTTTAGGCACCATGGCTTTTGAATTTATATAGTCCTAAAAACAGGATTTAAGTAAGTGAAAAGTTAATTGGGCCTGAGTGTGTGGAGTGTTTCAGGAAAGCTGGGGATAGGTTCCAGGGTAAAGAAAGTGGGAAGTGTGGGTTGAGGTAAGTCAGGTGAAATGGAATAAATTGAGCTCAGGCTGGAGTTTTATTATATAGCTTTTTCTGTCACCACATCTCAACTTACTTTTTTTTTGTTTTCTTCTAGCCTTATGGCTTTGAGGTTTGTAGGAACTGGAAATATGAGTAGACCCATGGTCTGGAAATGTTTTGTGTCCACTGCAGACCACTGGCTTCCTTTAAGAGCTCTTGATGAAAGTGAAGATGTTTTTCCAAAGCAGCTTTTTGCCTAAGGAGACAACCCCACCCCCAGTTCCAAAAATGATTAAGCATTCAGTCTTCTGAATTGGTAGAGTTTTGGGTTTGGGTTGTATGATTACCAGATTTGGGCTATTGGTTGTGGGTTTTAGTGGAAGATCATACTCTGTTCATTTAGTGCCTTTCCATGAGAGTTTTGGGGGCATCATGGGATTCCTATAGAAAAGGAAGAAGGAAAACGGTAGCTCCCGGTTCTTAAATGGGTTGCTAGAAGGGATCCCTTTGCTTGTTTGCTTGCTTTATTAGTTTTGTTTTTTTGAGATAGGGTCTCCCTGCTGGAATTAAAATGGATTTCCTTGCTTTAGAGAAGGGGAAACAACAGAGAAGTTAAAGTAGAGGGGCAGATGTCATAGATGGGGATGAAGTAAAGGCAGCTGGCACTGAGTTCCAGGTCTTGGAGGAATGAAACTACCCATTCTTTAGTTGCTTGGTTTGCTGTCTCAGCTTCCTTGGTAGTTTTACATAGTCACTCTAGTACCTCAATAACAAGTGTCAGTTTTTCTTGCAAAGTTGGGGTTCTAGTAGCTTGCTTTTTGTCTTATTACTGATTCATGATGTCTAGATTATTGAAACTGAATTAGGACTTTTCTAATAACCTATTTTGTAATTCTAACTGCTGAGGAAAGTCCAGGGAAGGAACAACTCAAGGTTAATGAAGTCTTGAGAGTTCTGCTGCCTCCTCTTTCTGAACGTCTTAAAGAGGATTATAGATTCAGTTTAATTTGTGGAAAATTACAACTCAAGGGGGGGGTGTTTTCATTTAATGTTGGAAACATGATTTTCCAGATTGTACTTCTGTCAGTTTTGAGACAGAATCTGACTGCAGTTCTCTCAGTAGTCTTCCAAGATCCCTTCTGCTGCTGCCTCCCAAGCACTTGGATCATAGGCTTGAGCAACCACACCAAGCTCACCTTTCAGTTTTTATGATTGTAAAAGACCAAATTGCTGGACGATGGTGGCACACACCTTTAATCCCAGCACTCAGGAGGCAGAGGTAGTCGGATCTCTGAGTTTGAGACCCGCCTGCTCTATAAGAGCTAGTTTCAGGACAGCCTCCAAAGTCACAGAGAAACCCTGTCTCGAAAAACCAAAGGGGGAAAAAAAAAACCAAAATTGCTCTTGGCCCCAGGTAACTCACTTTGTAGTTCCTTCTGATCTTGGCCTACCTCCCTGACTTTGCCCAAAGTACCACTTTTTACTCTCATTCCAGCAATGCTGAGGTTTTATTTATTCAACATGTCAGTTTCATTTCTTCCCTTGAACTTACTGTTGTTTCCTGAAAGACATACCCACTATCCTGTGTTTAAAATCTCACCCTTTATGACATCCCTTATGACAGGGCTTGCTCTGGGTCACCAATCTAAAAGACATTTCCTGTCACATCTTTAAAGTTTTTCTGCATAGCATTTTGTAGTTAGGTTAAAAAACAAAAACATGGATGGGTGTGGTGACACACACCTTTAATGCCAGCACTCGGCGGGCAGAGGCAGGCAGATCTCTGAGTTTGAGGCCAGCCTGCCTGGTCTGCAGATTGAGTTCTAGCACAACCAGGGCTGTTACATAGAGAAACCCTGTCTTGAAAAGCCAAACCAAATAAAACCAAAAACTTTTTCAGTATCTCTCTATCCTTGCCCCTAGAATGTGAATACCATACTTCTAAATTCCTAGAGTCTGCAATTTTGTTTTTCAAGACAGGGTTTCTCTGTGTAACCCTAGCTGTCCTAGAACTAGTTCTATAGACCAGGCTGGTCTCGAACTTAGAGTCTACAATTTGCACAATGCATCTTAGTATTGGTTATAACTCACTGATTGATCCTAATGGAGATCTTGGTCCTTTTTCACTGGGGAGTTGAGCCCAGGGCATACATAATTGGAACATTCTTCCAACCTGCTGCACACTAGCTCTGGGAGTCACTTTTTTTTTTTTAATGGGATTAATTTATCTGTAAACCAGAAGATTAAGATAAACTCTTAAATTCTTGTCTCGCTTCAATACAAGTTTTATAAACCATGACAGATTCCTGCCATGTTTGTAGCAGCAGAATCGCTCTTTGTGTATTTGTCTTTCTAGCCATGCTAAGGCAGTACAAGATGAGCATTGGCACCAGGCCATCAAACCTCTGAACATGCCCTGGCAACAGCTATTGTCCATCCCTCCAGTACCTGGTTTGTTCCTGAGCAAGTTTCACAGCTTCCTCCAGAGCTAGCCTTGCTGCCTCCTCTTCCTGTTGCCTCCTTTTCTCAGCCTCCCGCCTGGCCCTCTCTTCTGCTGCTTCTTTCTGCCACTGGTACTCCAGCCGTTCTTCTTCTGCCATTTCCATCAGGAGCTTCTGTTCTTTGGCTAACTGCATTTCCAGTTCCTTCTGCCGTTGCTTCTCTGCCTCTGCAGAACAGAAAGAGGTGGGCTCAGCGGGGGGCACCAGTAGAGCAGCTGGTATTTCCGGTCAACCTTTCCAATCTTCAAGAGACTCTGTGGGTTTGCTAATCCAAATCCTCCAGCAAAGCGCCCATGGCTATTAAGCCTTAGGGAAGATTTTCCCGGACTGTTGAGTTCCACGGGGTATTGTGCAGCTGTGTGGGGAGGAACATCAGACTAGGGTCTAGAGAAACATGCTGACTTAACAAGACACTGACTCGTCTAAAGAATGTGAATCAGGAATTGACCACAGCAGCATCTGCTGAACTTTCTGCCTCTTCCAGAAAAGTATGCTGGAAGAGTATCTGATCCATACCTGAAGGTGTGGCCTGAGGCTCTCTAGTTATTTGTGACCATCTCTACCTGCCAGAGGAATGGGGCAAGTAGAGCAGTTTGGGTAGCTTTTGAGCAATGCTGACAAGGGCAATTACTGAACCAGAAGTCTGACCCTGCAATCATTTCTACAAGAGTCTTCCGTTCATATCCCATACTTTTACATCAACCCTCTGTAGTCAGACATAATTACCATTCTGGAAAAAAGACAAATAAAAAAAACCAAAAAACTAGCTTACACATGCGGAGTGCTTTGTGCAGAAAGGCCTAGGATAGCAATAAAAGAGTGGCCACAGTGGGTTTAAAATATTTTTGGTTCAAGAAATGGGAGATACAAAATGCTCAGGAATTCTCTCACCAGCCCTCTCCAACTCCTCCTGCTGCCGTTTTCTTTGCAGTTTTTGCAGTTTCCTCCGGAGCTCCTCTTGCTGCTGCCGGGCTCTCTCCTGGGCAGCCTGTATCTGGATTCTCCGCTTCCTCTCCACTTCCTCCTGCAGCTGTCGCTCTTCCTCCAGTCTCTGCTTCCTCAGGCTGAGAACATAGGAGATGTCACAGGGATGGCAGAAGATACAAGCCAGCCAACTGATATTTCTTTGTAACTTCAGAGAACAGGTTTCTACAGCCAGGCAGAGGTAAGAGACAGGAGTCTAGGGGACCAAACTAGAAGTTTCAGCATGTAGCTCAGTGCTGTTGCTCAGGATTTAAGTGCCTTGGGTTCGCTGCACTTTATTTTCTATTTTTAAAAACTTATTTCATGTGCACGGGTAGTTTGCCTGCATGCTTATGCAAATCTCCCGGAACTGGAGTTAACAGTTGTGAGCTGCCATGTGGATGCTAGGAAATGAACCCGGGTCCTCCAGAGGAACGCTTTTAACCACTGGGGCATTTCTCCAGCTCCTTTATTTTCTATTCTTAAAGTATGGATCTTGAATTCTTGCCTCTTAGGGTTGTGGAGATTAAATTTGAGTGAAGATTTGTGAAAGAGCCTAGTACAGTGTGGACAATGGCAAGAGCTTGATACATGCAGGACTGAATCTCAACTCCTTCCCCCGAATTCTCTGTGAGCATATATCTTGAGTAACCCACATGTCAAGACAGTATCTTAGCTCTGGTCCAGGCTGTTCCTGTGATTTGGTGTCAGGGCATGAGTCTTAGCACTGAGCCATGCCCCTGGGAAAGATTTGCCCCTCCGTGTGTGTCTGGTCTGCGGGCTCACCGGATCTCCTCAGCGCGCCTCTGATGCTCCAGTTCCAGCTCCTCTTTCATCTTCTCCGCTCTCACCATCTGCTCCTTATAGAGCCGGATCAACAATTCCTGTTCCCTTCTCCTCTGCTCCACCTCCAGCCACCTCATCTCTGCCCTGTCCATGCGAATTCTGTCCCGAGAAGCCTTCTCCTGCTGCCTCTTATCCTGGAGAGCCTAAGAAACCATAGTGTTGTAAGTGTAAGGCGCAGACCCAGCTGCAGCCCAGATAGGGTTTTCTCTCATCAGAGATGGAATCCTAAAGCTGACTCCACACTACCTCCACCTGCCTGGCTGCTTTGGGGTTGGGGGAACATGGTCTTCCTCATGGGCTACATCCAGATGTGTTATCACTGTTCGCTGTGTCACAAGTTATGGCCTTTACAGCCCTAGCTGCACTTCAGAACTGCCCAAGGATCTTGGTCCAACTTGGTCCACTTGGTCCTCCAAATGAAAATCTCTTGGGTGAGGGGTGGGGTGGGGAGGGGGTGGGGGTGGAGGTTTTCATCCTGGAGTTTTAAAAACTTGGAACTTGAAGCTGGGGCTGGAAGGCTGTTTTTGCAGCATGGTGGTAGCACGCGCCTTTATTCCCAGCACTCGGGAGACAGAGGCAGGCAGATCTCTGAGTTCGAGGCCACCCTGGTCTACAGGAGAGTCAGGGCTACACAGAGAAACCTGTCTCAAAAAGAAAAAATAAGGAGGGGGGGGCGCTGTTTTACCAGAAGTTTTTTTGGCTCTAGAGGAGTCAGACTCAGTTAATCCCCTATTTCAGTGAAGGTTTTCTTTCAGCTTTTTTTTCTCCAATGCTGCCTCTTTATGTAGTCACATTTCTAGGTGGAGAACACAGATAAACTCTGTCCTACCTGGAGTCTAAACTCCTTGGTTCTGCAGAGGCCACATGCTATTATGGATTGACAATAAATCTAAGAAATTCTAATGATGTAGAAAGTTCTGCTCAGGTGCTGGAGAGATGGCTCAGAGGTTAAGAGCAACCACTGCTCTTCCAGAGGTCCTGAGTTCAATTCCTAGCAACCACATGGTGGCTCACAACCATCCCTTATGAGATCTGGTGCCCTCTTCTGGTGTGCAGATAGGTATACATGGAAGCAGAATGTTGTATACATAATAAATAAATAAATAAATCTTAAAAAAAGAAAGTTCTGCTCATAGATTAAAATCTCCATCCATTGTGCAGAGCAGATCTCTGTGTGGGTGCAAAGATTAAATGAGGTGCCCTGGTGTTTATTGCATGCACATGGATCCATAGAGGCTTGGCCTTTCTGCTGTGGTGTTTGAAGATATTTTGGAGTACAAAGTCTCTAAATGCAGTTGTGTATCCTCGTGAAGATTTTAATGGCAGAAGAAATATGCACCAAGCGATGACGTATATGGATGCTATTCTTTTTGACTAATTACAGAAAATCCCAAGAAATATTTTCCTCATCCATTTTTCTTTTTTCTTTTTTTTCTTTTTTTTTGACACAGGGTTTCTCTATGTAGTACTGGTTGTCCTGGAATTCTAATTCACTCTGTAGAATCTGTGCTGGCTTTGGACTCACAGAGACCCACCTGCCTTTGCCTCCTGAATGCTGGTATTAAAGGTGTGTGCCACCACTGCCTGGCTCATTCAATTTTGTGTTCAAATATGCACCTTAGAACCAAGGCCACTGGAACACAGCAACTCATAAAAAAGCACCCTGAAAGCAGTTGCATGTCTAGGAGCTGCCTGGTCTAGATGTATTCCACAGCCTTTGTAATGTTCCAGGCCAAGCTGAGGATGTGGCTTGATTCTAATAGCCAGTGTGTCTACCTTTCTGTGTTCCAGGGAGACACGTACCTCTCATGGATGGCTTCCATACTTCCCTCCTACTCTTTAGAGTTGGATACATTCCTTAGCAGTTTGGGGCATCATAGAATAACCTCACTTCAGAGAGTTGAAACCTCTTTCTTTGTGTCTTTGATCAGGTCTGGCTTCTAACTAGGATCCGAAGGCACCAAAATAGAACAACTAAGACCACCATGTGCCAGGTGCAGTGTCACACACCCTTAGTCCCAGCACCCGAGAGGCAGAGGCAGGTGGATTGCTTGTGAATTTGAGGCCAGTCTGGTCTACAGAGTTCCAGGACAGCCAGGGTTACACAGGGTTACCCTGCCTCCAAAAACAACAACAAAAACAACAAAAATCAAGTAATGTAGCTGTTTCAGAAAAGACTGACTATTTAGGGACATTTTCCTCACATCTGCACTTCTGCCAAGTGGGGACAGATCTTCCTCTGGCCAAGAGGAGAGAACACCTGCCCATACCTTGGAAGGGTCTTCAGGGCTTCTCTCTTCCTTAGAACCCGTGTTGCTAGTGACGCCTATGGCCTGTGTGGGTGATGCTCTCCTCCTGTCTATGGACACCTGGCTCTCTGGAGCATCATGGTCAGGAGAAAGCCAAGGGTCCTCAGTGGCACTATGTGAATGGAAGAGCCCTCTGTCTAAGGTTCCACCTTCTTCCTTGGAGTTCGTGACATCAGGCTCACTCAGCTCTGTGGCCATCTCCACGTTCCTTTCTTTGTGTGTCCTTTTCACTTTGGTTCCTGGTTTCTTTTTGGGGGGGATGAGCTCTGGTTTCTTTTCAGCTTTTGAGTTCTTTGACTTCCCTGGGGAAACAATAGGGGCAGAGGAAGCTGAGTAGAAGAAATGTGACCTCTATTCATTCTCTTTAGTAGCCTTTTTTTTTTTTTTTCTTGAGACAGGGTCTCACTGTGCAGCTCAGACTGTCTTGGAACTCACTATATAGACAAGACTGGCCTTAAACTCACAGAGATCCTCTTGGTCCTCTTGGGTGCTGGGATTAGAGGCATGTGCCACCACACCCAGATAGGCATGCAGTGGGATAAAGTGGTGGGTATATCCCTGAATTCATCCCCAGAATCTAGGGGAATAGAATCTGTGCTATAATAGTGATTTGAGAAGAGCATCTCTGCATTATATTTAGGTCTCTACGAATGCAACCACATAGCAGTGCCATTGCTGAAAAGATTGCATCTCTGGCTGCAGATACAGCTAAAGAGTAGAGCATGTGCTTAGTACATAGAGCCCTAGGGCCCATCCCTAGGGCCAGAAGCAAAGAAAGGTCCCATACCACCCTGATGATGATGGGGCAGGACTTCTGGGGAGAATCTCTGCATATCTGACAAGTCCTGCCCAAGGCTGCAGTTCTGTCTGGGTGAAGTTTAATACTCCAAGGATCAAGGCCATGCCAAGGGCTAGACAAATGTATATGCAGCAAGAGCTTAAAAAGCAAACTTCAGCCGGGCGTTGGTGGCACACGCCTTTAATCCCAGCACTCGGGAGGCAGAGGCAGATGGATCTCTGTGATTTCCAGACCAGCCTAGTCTACAAGAGATAGTTCCAGGACAGCCTCCAAAGCCAGACAGAAACCCTATCTCAAAAAAAAACCAAACCAAACCAAACCAAAACAAAACAAAACAAAAAACAAACTTCAAAACCAAATCTGTGACTAGGGGGTGTATCCACTGTTGTCCTTGCAACAAGATGTGATTTGTTTAAAGGGTCTTCAAATCTTGGGAGCAATAGAGGGCAGACGTGAGTTTTAGGCAAAGGAAGTATGGAGACATCTGAGGTCTTATAAGGCAAAGGACGACACTGGGAAGTGTGATGGTAGGAGAACATCTCAGACCATAGTTCACTTCCCCTTCCTAAACACTCTCACCACCTAGGCTGGGCATCCCTTTCCGGAGATGTTTGGGACCAGAAGCATTTCAGATGAGGGCTACTTTGTGGTTTTAGAATGCTTACACATACATTAAATGTGTATAATATAAAATCCTGTTGATGGGATCCAAGCCCAAGTCTATAATTTGTTAATGTTTCATATACACTTTTGACCCTCAGCTTGAAGGTGCTCTTATGTTTTTCTTAAAGTAGCAAGGGGTTTTATTCAGAACTGAAATAAAACTGTAGGCCAAGTACACAGCAAGACTTGAGCAGAGTGTTCATGAGCCTTATCCAGTATTTTCAGTGAGGCCAGACATGGCGTCTCCTTGTGTTGATGTTCAGGAAGTTTTAGACTTGGGGACATTTTGCTTTTGGCTTTTCAGATTACAGATCCTAGCCTGTAGTTAGCTCACAGTGGCAGTAATAGTAATGTACACTAGGACTCAAATGGGAAAGGACAAACCCTGGGTCCGCTTTTCCTCTGGGGCTACTTACCCAAGCTCAGGTACCCAAACAGCATGGTGGCACTCATTTCAACACTCCCAGAGTGCTATTAATGTCATCCCTTCTCATGGTCATCACAGGTCTCTACCAGGCCATGGTTTCCTCTGCCCATGCGCACTGAGACACTGCTGTGAAATCAGGCTGCAAAGCCAACCTTGCCAGGTGGTCAAACAAAGCTTGACCCGTAGGAGCCAAGTCCATTGTCCATATTACCTCCTTCCCTGTTGGAAGTCTTCTGAATTGTTCCTCACAGGCATACTTCCTTACCTCCAATAGCCTCTGTCTGCTCCAGGACCCTTCCTTCTCTCTCTGTTTTGGATGCTCCGGCCTTGTCTGTCTTGGTTTTTTCCTTCCTCTTAGCCTTGTCAAGCAAATCCCATTCCTAAAGGAAGAAATTAAGGAAGAGGCCTGTGATACACATAGGAAATAAGAGTTTTATCAAGCGAAGATTACACTGGAAGAACAAGGCGATGGTGACAGAGGCTTAGAATGGAATAAGTTCTGGATGAAACAGATGGCCAGGTTTAGAGTGTGGAGCTAGTGGGGGAAAGGGAACTTTTTTTTTTTTTTTTTTTTTCCCGGAGCTGAGGACTGTACCCAGGGCCTTGTGCTTGTTAGACAAATGCTCTACCACGGAGCTAATTCCCAACCCCAGCACCTTTTATTTGAAATAATTAGGGATAGTTTCAGAGGAGAGAGGGTAAGAGAAGTTCTTTATGGCCTGTCTTCTTTTTTGATGCTATGTCATCATCTGCAGAGCTTGAAGCAAAGGAAGCAGTCGATTTGTTTGTTAGTGCTGCCATTGTTGGCTGAATGCTTAAAGTCAGAGATGGCTTTATGCTCCCTGCTGTATCATGTGCTAACTTTCAGAAAACCCAGGCAGGTAGCCAGAGCCATGCCAGCTTTTCCCTTTCCCTATTGACTGTGTCAGCATGGAGGTTCCCCCTAAAAGAGGATGGCAGAGTGGGGCCATCTTCCCAGTCCGTAGTGAGGTGCCCTTATCTACTAAGCAACCTTCAGAAGTCTACATGGAGCCTTGGAGGGATCCCGGCAGGGTTTCTGGAGCGGATTCCTCATTCTCACACTCACGTGACTATTGGCAGCTGAGGTCTGCTGGTTCAACGATTTTGGCTCCATTTTCTTATTTTTTTTGCTCAGAAGAAGAGATGTAGTCTCAGAACCCAGCTTCTCTGGGGATGCAGGCTCACATTCTAGCAGTCCTCTGTGCAGCTGGTACACATTGTGATCTCTGTCCCTTTGAAATGAGCAAAGCCAGCAGACCAATTTAATGACCAAAACTTGAAGTGGGAGGAAAGAGAGCAGGCAAAAGATGCCAACAGAACAACTGTTGGGATGTTTGACATGCTCAGGCAACTTTCTCCTTAGGTTCCTGCATAAGGGGGATTAGAAAGGGTAGTCTTCACTTCCAGGGTTTCCTTAAGGTAAGCCCTAAATCATAGACAACTGGAGAGATATTTTGCTTCTCATTGCATATTTACACCTTTACCTGAGAGCTTGTTTGGAGGTTCTATCATGGAGGCACAACTACAAGGGGACCCTGGACCAAAGACAAGTCCTCCTCTGCTCGGGGAAGGTTATCTTCTTCAATGGAGCCAACAGCTTTGGGAGGGACACACATGGAGAAAGTGAGAGAGGAAAGGGACGCACACCTAGCCAGTTAAATCGGCTGAATCAACCCTGGCGATCAATCGATCGGTGGGGTGGCATGTAGCAGTCAGATCACCCTCACAGACAGAATTACACAGCTGAAATGTCTTCTGTCAAAGGCTTAGCCGGAAGGAACGAAGCTTTTAAGAAAGATGACCTCAAAAACATGCGATTGTCCCATTCATTCCCTTGCTTCTCTGAGTTTTATTCTTAATTGGATTCATCCACTATGAGGTCGTGCATGCCCTGTCTTGTGTGTCCTAGTTTTAGTGTCTTTGCCATCACTGACTTATGCTTGCGGGTGGCAAGTACTGCAGCAGTGATACCATGTGCCTGCTGGCTGCTGGGTTTCAATCTGGGTCTTTTTTCTTTTTAGTTGAATCAATGTATTTACTGTGGCATGCTAGCCCAGGGCCTCACTGTGGAAACTTGAGAAATATTTGTTGAATGAGGTAAATGGAATTTCCTGTAACTATTCAAGTCTTTAAGTCATTCAGCGACACTCTATAAAAACTCACAGAAGTCTGCTTTAGAATTATGTTAGGAAAACCTGTTTCCCCAAGGAGCAAGCCGGCTGTATTGCTGTTTTTCTCTTCCACATTTAGCAATCTGTGTTAAATCTGAATAAGTCACAATGACTGTAATGAATTTTGTGAAGTGTTTTATGCTTTTTACTATCCTCTTGATAAAAAAAGAAAGAATTCTCTTTGATTATTTCATTGGTTTTTGGTTAGTGGGAGGGAAGTTGTAATGACCTGTTTAAAGTATATTGTGGGAAAAGGGATAGAAAACAACAACAAAATAGAAAAAGACAAAAAAAAAGAAAGAAAGAAAAAGAGAATTCTTTAGCGACAGCCTCAATCATGGGGGCTTCCTCCCTTGGCTTCTGGTTTGGCACAAAACCCTTTGACCTGAGAGTTTATACTGCCGATCATGGAACTACAGTAAGGTCTAGTTCCAGCTGGTAGCAGAGAAGTCTACAGCAAAGGCCACTACCAAAGGAGACTGAGGACAAAGGCCTGGGCCAGGCTGCCTGGGCTGCGGGCCAGTGAGCTCACACTAAGCATGTAGGGAAGGTGTTCCTGTGTTGACAGTCATGAGAAGAAGCCATGATGGTGGCTGGCCAGCTTTATTCTGTCCAGACCTAAGGAACCTGGAGGAAGAAGGATGAACTGATTGTCCCCAGCCTTCCAGGGATTTTGTAAACATTAGGTGCATGGACACAGCGAAAGTTGCTTCCAGGTGGCTGTCTGAAGTTCACTCTTCCCCACCTAACCTGAAATACTTAGTTTAAATAGCTCACTCATCAATATGTAACCTACCCACGGGCCTGTTGCTTATAATCCCAGATGCCAGAATGTTATCCCCACAAAAAAAGCAGAAAGTAACTTAATGAAAACAAAATCCAAGGTGGATGTGGTGGATGCGGAGAAGCCGCTGCTGTTGCTACAGTTGCATACTTACTGCTCTTGTTACAGTTAAACCGCTCTTGCTACAGTTGCAAACTTACACCCTTTTCAATGTGTCAGCCTCAGAGGTCTGGGTGTACTCAGCCACCGGAGGACTGAGGGGGTCAAGGGTCACACTCCTGGGCTCTGGGTCTGTGAAAACAGAGTATCCTCCATCAGCAAATGACCCAGTCAGTTTTCCCAGGAGGAAATCGGGCAAGGGGAAATGTCTACTGGTGAGTCCCAAGCAGTGCAGAAGACAGCAACAAAGCTGGCCAAGGATCA